GAGGATGTTTTTATGCGTTATTTTTTATTAACATTATTATTACCGTTTATTGTTAATTAATCATCATTACTATCATCACCATCATCGTTATTATTATTATTATCATTGTTGCTGTTTTTATCATTAATGTATTATTAGGGTTATTTATATTAGATATTAGTAGTAATATTGGTAGTAGTATTGTTATTACATTTAGTATTGAAGGCCGACGTTGTAAAAAGCTTTTAGAAGAAGGATCAGCTGTTTGTCTGCTCGCTTGACCTAGAGGGGGCTTGCGTGCCCACTTTGATAACGAGAGGCTCGCTTGTTTATTGTGTTTTGATATCTTCCTTTTTTTCTTTTGTTTATTGTATAAGGATAATTTGGACTGATGCGGTTTTGGGGGTTTGTGTGACTCATTCCTTAGGCGGGGGGGAGGAGGGGGCAGTCATAAAGGGAGACGTTGGGGACGAAAAGGAGGTAGGGAGGGAGGGAGAGGGAAAGGGACACGGAGACGGAGAGGAGGAGGAAAAGGGGGAGGGGAAGGTGGAAGGAAGGAAAGAGGGAGAGAGGACTGACTGACTGACTGATTGAATAAATGAGTGACACACGCGCGCGCGCAGAGAGAGACAGACAGACAGAGACAGACAGACAGACAGACAGACAGACAGAGAGACAGACAGACAGACAGAGAGAGAGAGAGAGAGAGAGAGAGAGAGAGAGAGAGAGAGAGAGAGAGAGAGAGAGAGAGAGAGAGAGAGAGAGAGAGAGAGAAAGGGGCAAGAGAAGCAAAAGAGACAGAGTCGGGGGAAATTAAAATCGAAGATGGGGAAGTTTAATCCACAAGTTAAGCTGCTCGCCCGCAACAAAATAGAGAAGTTAAAAGAACCTGGGAGTTAATTGGCGCCTCCCACGCACATGGAAGGCCAGGTAACTAATTAGGAGCCAAAAATAAAAGTCGCAGGTGTCAGACAGGTGTTACTGCGCATGAATAATGGGTTCTTGGTCGCCATTAACGTTTAGCATTATCATTGCTTTTAGTTATTTTCTTTTTATTAGTATTGTTATTTTGATTTTTTTTTCATTTGTTGTTTGTTTTATTTCCTGGAGCAGTAGGAGAAAGTTGTGATAGTTTATTCTCTCTCGGAGTGTTGTTTTTATCTTTGTTTACTTAGTTTGTGGGACAAGGAGAGTGTGTTATTATATTTAGTGTGTGTGTGTGTGTGTGTGTGTGTGTGTGTGTGTGTGTGTGTGTGTGTGTGTGTGTGTGTGTGTGTGTGTGTGTGTGTGTGTGTGTGATATGCTTGTTTGCTTGTACATTTCTTTGTTTGTGTGTGTGTGTCGATGCATATTTGTTTTTGTTTTTTGCATTACACTAGAGCAAGATAAAGATTCCCACACGAACCCAGCCAAAAAAGCGTCTGTGAGCCCCCTGAGATGCCCGCGAAAGGAATGGGGGTGTGGAATGGGGAAGAGAGAAGAGATAAAGAGAGAGAAGCGACCAGTAAATCTGCACACAATAGCCAAGCCGTAAACATGGCGGCCGATACACGTCATGACAGATCTCCATAACTTGCCCGTCAGGCCCACCCAGCCTCCTCGGGGGCTTTTGTCGGGGGGCGATTACTCTCGGCGTCCGCAAATCCATCTCCGCTGGGCTGGTCGTTGATCCGCGAAATCCCTTTCTTCTTTTTCTTGTTCTTCTTCTACTTCTTGTTCTTCTTGTTCTTGTTCTTCTTTTTCTCCTTCTTCATCTCCTTCTTCATCTCCTCCTTTTCCTCCTCCTCTTCCTCCTCCTCTTCCTCCTCCTCCACCTTCCTCCTCCACCTCCTCCTCCTCCTTCTTCCTCTTCTTTTCGGTTCTTATTTTCTTTCTTCTTTTTCTTCGTTTTCTTCTTCTTCCTCCTCTTCTTATTTTTATTTTTAAACTCCGGAACGATTTTATCTTCGCTTGGGTTACACAATCTTCACAAAGATTATGTTCAATTGAAGAGAAGTTATTTTTTCCGGTTATATATTTTTTCTTTTTTAAGTGTTACGATTTCCAATTTTATTTCTATTTCGTACTGCGAGAAGATTCTATTCGCCCCACGACAAAGCACGTGGGGAGGACTTGTTCGAGCTGTGATTTAGAACATGTCAGAGACGTGTTGCTATGTCAGAGGGAGATTCACTGTCCTTGGTGCGATGCCGAGCCGGTCTTGATCACGGCGCTTGTTCAGTGGTGTGATTCCACATTTATGAGGCAGGGGGGGAGGGGGGCAGAGGAGAGATTTCGGGCTTTGTTTTGCACTGGAGACTCTCTGGGTTTTTGTTTGCGTGTGAGGGAGGGAAGAAGGGAAGGTAATGAGAGAGAGGGAAGGAGGGAGGGAGGGAGGGAGAGAGGGAGAGGAAGGTAGGGAGTGGAGGAAGGGAGGGAGAGAGGGAGAGGAAGGTAGGCTGAAGAGGAAGAGAAGAAGGGAAGATTATATGAGATAGAGGGTAGGAGAGAAGAAGGGAAGGTTATATGAGATAGAGGGGAGGAGAGAAGGGCAGGTGATGAGAGTGAGAGGGGGAAGAGAAGAAGGGGAGGTGATGAGAAAGAGAGGAAAAGGAGAAGCACTGAAGGCAAAAAGGAAGAAGGAAAGAAAGCAGGGAGAGAAAGGGAAATGATTTAGATTCCACGCATCTTATCTCGTAAAAGTTAATCTTGAGAGATCTTTGAAAGACACACCAGACAAGTACACACCACGTTCACCCGACCTCGCGCGCCACAGACACCGCCCGACAGCAAAATCTTTCAGCGAAGGCAGATCCAAGGTCGTCAAAGCCCCTTGAGCCTCACGCGACCCGACGTGACTGCCGGTGACACCCGACGGCGAGGAGAAAGCGGCTGTCACGCGAAATGACAGGGCATGTGGCATGGCGATGATAGGGGAGAGGAAGCGAGTGAAGGATGCTAGTAGACGCGAGCTGTTCCTCGCGTCCCGGGTTGCTTGGCAGGTTGCTTGACAGCCTGCTTGACGAGAGGTGGTGGTGGGGGGGGGGGTTGAAGAGAGCGTGTCCGCAAGCCCCGGGGCCGAGCTCAGAGATCTTGAGATGCCACGCGCGCTCCTTGCAAGGCTGTCGAGGGAGTTGCGAGTTACGAGGGGGAGGGGGGTGGGGGGGGAGGGCAGGGGGCAGGGGGGGGGACGCGTGGTGTTGAATAATACTCCGGGTGATGTGAGAGGGAAAGAGGAGGAGAGGGATTGGGTGAGAGGAGGAAGAAAAGAGGGAGGGAGGGAGAGAGGTGGAAACAGACAGACTGAAACAAAAAGACAATGAGAGAGAGAATGTGAGGGGGGGATGGGTGATGGAAAGAGGGAGAATGGTGTAAGAGAGTAACAGGAGAAAAATTAGGAAACAGTGGAAGGGAGAGAAAGTGGTTAAAAGCAAAGGGAAGCAGGGAGGGAGAAGAGGGAATAAGTGACAAAGAAAGAGAGGGGGGAGGCCTTTTAGAGAGGTTGCATGATGGTGAATAATGCCGCAAGCACAGAAAATGAAAGTAAGGGAGGGAGAGGGAGGAAGGGAGATGGAGGGAGGGGGGAGTAAGCGAGAGAGAGTGAGAGAGGGGGAAGGGAGAAAGAGGGAGAGGGGGGGAAGGGAGAAAGAGGGAGAGGGAGGAAGGGAGAGGGAGGGAGGGGGAGGAAGGGAGAGGGAGGGAGGAGGAGGAAGGGAGGGGGAGGGAGGGGGAGGAAGGAAGAGAGAGAGGGAGAGGGAGGGAGGGGGAAGAAGGAAGAGAGAGGGAGAGGGAGGGAGGGGGAGAAAGGGAGAGCGAGGGAGAGCGTTGTGGCTCGACCTACATACCGTTCATTATCAAGTTCGAACAAGCGAGTTTCACATTTCCTTGAGCGTAGAATATAATTTTCGCCCCCAGTAACTCCCGCTCGGACAATTTGCGGCGAGAACTCTATTTTGTTGCCGCGGCCTCTCCTCGTCGACCTCGCCGGCGTGCGGAGACTGACCTTATTTGCAAGCGCGCCCCAGGAGGAGGAATTTTAAATTTTCGCCAAGAGCGTGCTTGCGAAAGGTAACTTTATTCGCGGGTATGTAGAGCGCGGAGGTTCTCTCATTCACAATTATGCAGAGCAGGAGAGGACTGCGCCATCCATTTCCCAAACTGAAGAGAAAATGCCTCATTCATGGCCTCCTCGCCTGGGGGCTAGGAGCGTCATCTGTCGGGATAAATTGCGTGCAAGGCGCCCCCGAGATTTTGGATTCTGCAATATGAGTCGTAAAGCATCGCCGTAATAGATTCGAGCCGCAGTAAAGCTGGGGGGAGGGGGTTGGGGAGGGGGATTGGAGGGGGTGGGGTGGGGGGTGGGGAGGAGGATTTGTGTGGTTGGGGCTAGATGGGGGGTGGGGGGGAGGAGGGGTAGCGTAAATCTGATTTGAAGGATGGTTTTTCTACTCTGGGTTTTCCTCCGTTTGGTTTCTTTCTTTCTCGCTTTTGTTTTCCTTTTTTTGCCAGTTCTAGAATTTCCTTCTTTATCAGTATACTTATTCTACGCGATCGTTAATATTATTTTCTTCTTATATTACTTCTTTTGTTCTTCAAGGGAGTAGTGGCATTAGGAAGGAAGGACATTGCAATTGCAGATAATTACTATGCAGTTGTCGCTCTTAAATTGGAAGAAATATTTCGATTTGTAAAAATTATAGAATATATTTACGGAGGTAGGTTGAAATATATTCGCGCTTCCGTTGAAGAGTTATTTTGTGTCATGGCCACCCGCCCGTTTTCTTTCGTGCGTGCGTTAATGAAGACCGTTGTAGTGAAATGTGGGTTTCTTGGCCGTAGGGTTTATTCGCGGTGAAATATTTTTAGCGTCGCCCATTTCATTCTCGTGGCAGTGTTCGCTCTAAATATGTGCATGCGTGTTCTGTACGCATTCATCGTTCTATGAATTTGGAATAAGCACTGTAATATTTTGGGACTTGATGAAATTTGTGAAGGAAGGATTGTGGGTGATAATCATGTTCTTATTTTTGGAAATCTTTAAGGACTAGATTCTGATGCACTGAATATTCCGTGTGAAGTAATCTGTGAAAAGAGAAAAGTTCAACTCTGAGATAAAGACGCCAGACCAGAAATGCGTGGCGCGAGAGTGAGTGACGTGAGTGACAAGTAACTGTCGGAGCGGCGTGCGAGGCAAGCGCCGAGTGTGCAGCGCGGGCGGGCGGGCGTGCAGTGTCCCTGCGGGCGGGGTGAGAGGAGCCTCCCAGATGAATGGTGAAGATACGGAGCGTCGACGGGCCGAGGGGGTCCCCGCCGCCACTGGGACCCCGCGGCGGCCCCCCAGATAGGGCAGCCCGGGGCCGCGGCGCGCCGGGAGAGCACAAGGACCGTGCTGCGACACCGCGCAGGAAGTGCCAGCTGGTGAGCGTGAAGGAGGAGGAGGAGGAGGAGGATGGGGAGGTCTTGCTCAGGAAGGACGGGGATCCCGACGAGCGGTGCGACGCCAGGAAGATCGAAGGATGCGAGGCCGCCCACAAGGCAGGCGTGAGGGCCGAGGGGAAGGCCCCCGAGGAGGGCGAAGGCAAACTCGAGGGCGGGGAAGTGGTCGGACCTTCGTCGACGTCGTGGCTGTCCTCCGACACGCTGTGCCTGCTGTTCTGCTGCAAGCGGGAGCCCCAGGAGGAGAGGCAGGAGGAGCAGGAGGGCGCGGAGATGGCCGTGTACCGGGTGGCCTGCGGGATCCACCGGGGCCGACACCTGGTGCAGGCGCTCCTCATCCAGGCCGGTGAGTCTCTCTTTTGTCCTTCGCAGGCTGCCTTCCGCGTGAGGTTCACGGACGCCAAGGACTCGCCGGAGAGGATGTTCTCTCTCCTAGGGGGAAGGATATGGGGGGGGGGGGGGCTCCGGGATTTGATTCACTGGCGAAGGATTCTTCTCGCAGCGGATGTTAGTGTGGGGGGATGTTAGTGAGGCTACTTTATGCTGTGTAGTGGTAGCACTGTGCATGTTATCCTCCCGTTCTCTTGCTGGTATTCCTTCAACCTTGATTTCCCTCTCTCTCTCTCTCTCTTCTCTCTCTCTCTCTCTCTCTCTCTCTCTCTCTCTCTCTCTCTCTCTCTCTCTCTCTCTCTCTCTCTCTCTCTCTCTCTCCTCTCTCTCCCCCTCTCTCCCTCCCCTCTCCTCTCCCTCCCTCTCTCCCTCCCTCTCCCTCTCCCTCTCCCTCTCCCTCTATCTCCCCCCCTCGCTGTCCCCTCCCTCCTCCTCCTTCTCCTCCTCCTCTTCTCCTCCTCCTCCTCCTCCTCCTCCTCCTCCTCCTCCTCCTCTCTTTCTCTTTCTCTTTCTCTTTCTCTTACACTTCATCTTTCTCTTTGCCTCCTGCCTATTTCTCTTTCTCCTCATTTTTCAATTTCTCCTTCTCTTTCTCTCCTTCCCTCCCCCTTTGTATATGGAGGTCATATCGCAGCAGCAGTAACCCCCCCCCCCCGTAGTGACGTCACGGCAACGATCCGCCTCCCAGCGACCAATAGCAGGAGAAGAAACGCTCCGTGATTAGCCAATAGGTTACGTTCCAATCCCCGCCGCTCGCCCTTGCTTTACGCTGATGTGTTGGTCGCTGATTGGGGGGGGGGGGGGGTTGCGATTTGAGGGCGGAGGTTGTGGGTGGTTCGGGGGAGGGAGGAGGGAAGGGGGGAGAGGGGAGGAGGGGAAAGTATGTGAGGAGGGGAGGGGGTGTCTTAATTACATGTAGATGGTATAAGATGGGGGGAGCTAGAAGGAGGGGGGGGGAGGAGGAGGAAGAGAGGAGGAGGAGGAAAGGAGGAGGGGAGGAGAGGAGGGGGAGGAGGAGGAAGATGAAATAAAACGGAGAAATTCCATTTGGGAGTTGGAGGATGTGAGAAATAGGAAGATAATAGAAAGGAAATTTTAAGGGAAGGAGGATGAAGGAAGGATGTAAGCAACTGCGAAGGAATAGAGTAGAAGAGAAAGGAGATGATAAAGGCATAATAAAGGGGGGGGGGAGAAATAGAAGAGGCAGCTGGGAGTTGACCTTCAGCCTCCAAGATATTACTTTGTCCTTGACCTGCGTTAAGGTGAGAGGGGGAGGCGAGGGAATGAAGGAAGAGAAGAAAGAGGAGAGGGAGAAGAAGCAGAAGGAGAAGGAAAAGGAAAAGGAGGCGGAGAAGGAGAAGGAGAAAGAGAAGGAGGAGGAGAAGAAGGAGAGGGAGAAGAAGCAACTGAAGAAGAGAAGGAGAAGCAGAAGAAGGAGAAGGAGAAGGAGAAGGATGAAGACAGGCGAGGGAGGAACGGACGAAGCGAGAGGAGAGAGAGACACATGAGGGATGAAGCTAGTCATATTGTTCCAGTATCGTCTATCGACCTTGTGTTTTGTAAAGAATCGTCAGTTGCCGTGCCCGGTTCGACCTGCAGGATTGAAGATTGAATACAATTGAATTATTCGTTGCCGAGAAAGACTCCGCTTAGAATAGATTTCTCGGCCAGTGCAACAGGGTTTTCGATTCACTGCAACATTCCCCCCCTCTCTCTCTCTCTCTCTCTCTCTCTTGTGATGTCAAAAAAGGAAACGCCATTTACGATCTCGAAAACTAATTATTTCGAAATTAGTCTTGTAAGTGGTAATGATAACCGAATGGCACTCTTGACGCGAAATTGCCTTCGTGCTAATCATTGCTAATAGGGAAATGAGTTTGCGAATATTGAGCTGGTTTGGGAACGCCTCGTGCGGATCAGCGGTTCAGCTGCTGATGAGTTTGTTTATGCCTTTTCGCGTTTTTTTTTTTCTCCCTCTCTCTCTCTTGCTGTCTCTCTGAGTATTTCCCTTTTCTTTTTCTCTTTCTTTATCTCTGTGTCTTTCTCTTTCCTTCCTCTCCCTCACTTTCTTGTTTTTTTTTCCATCCCTATCCCTCACCCTCTCTCTCTATCTAAATCATCTGTTACAGTCCATCCTTTTTTATTCCCCGTCTCTCCTCTCTCTCTCTCCTCTCCCCTCTCCCCTCTCCTCTCTCCTCTCTCCCCTCTCCCTTCTCCCATCTCCTTTCCATCCCTCTCCCTCCCCTCCTCTTTTCCCCTCTCCATTCCTCTCTTCTTTCCTCTACACCTTTCCCCTCCCCTTCCCTCTCCTCTCCCCTCTCCCCTCTCCTCTCTCCTTTCCCCTCTCCCCTCTCCCCTCTCCCTTATTCCCCAGACACCCCGTTATTCCAATTCCGCGTTTTCCAGCCTGTTGGAGGTATCGAGAAAGTGTGGCGTCGGCGAGTGGAATACTGATAACTCTTCGGCCGCCGCGCTGTGGTAGGGGTGTTGGTGTGGGCGGCGTGGGAGTGGGAGTGTGGGAGAGTGGGGTGTGGGAGAGTGGGTGTGGTGTGGGGCGTTGGGAGTGTGGTGGCTGGCGTTGGGAGTGTGATGTTGGGCGTAGACGCGATAGGATATTTAGGTGGTGTGGCAGTAGTATGGGTAGGTGGGTTCGTGGATAATATGCCATAGATAGTCTGGACGCGCGCGCGCGCGCGTGTGTGTGTGTGTGTGTGTGTGTGCGTGTGTACGTGTGTGTGTATGTCTATGTGTATGTGTGTGCGCGTTGCGCGCACGCACGCATTGATTGGTTTATATTACTTATGTTACTGCTCATTATTAGCACTGTCTGTTACTATTGTTGTTGCAATTTCTTTAGTTTATGAATTTTGTTGCATATATTTTCACACGATTTTACACCTAGAACATATCTTGGCAATATTGTTTTTTTCAGTATTATGCTGAATTTACATAATCCCCTCGGATTGCAAGCAAATACAATAACTATATTCCTTCGCCAGCATTGTTCCCGCCGTAGTAAAGTTACGGACACCGTTCTAGAGTGAATTTGGAAATGTAATCGTGCGTTTGTCCCGCGGGAAGAGAGCTCACCTAAATACTGCTCTTTATCATAATTCCGTTTCCCTTTCTCTCGCTTCTAAATTCCAAGGGGTTTGCCGGGGAGGGGAGGGGAGGGGAGGGGGATGAGTGGGGAGGTGGGGGGAGGGGGCTAAGGCGGAAAATAGAGGCGAGGCAAATGAGAATTAATGCGGCGAAGGAGGAGGAGGAAGGAAAGAGGAGGAAGGAAGGAGGAGAGGCCAGAGGTATCCCTTGCGGGGAAGTTAGTTACCGCGGAATCATAAAAATCCGGAGGAAGGGGGGAAGGGGTGGGGGAGGGAGGGGTTGGAGGGAGGAGGGAGAGAGGGTAGGGGGGATGGATGGGGGAGAGATGAAGGGGTGGGGGAGGGGTGGAGGGAGGGGTTGGCGGTAGGAGGGAGGGAAGGGGGATGGATGGGGGAGAGAGTAAAGGGGTGGGGGAGGGGTGGGAGAGGGAGGAAGGGAGGGAGGGGAGAATGAGGGAGGGTAGAAGGGTAGGGGAGAGGAGGAGGGGTGCTTGGAGGGAAGGAGAATGGGAGAGGGTCAGGGAGGGAAGGAGAAGGGTTAGAAATAATAGTTTTGGAAGGAGGGAAGTAATCGGTTTGGCCGTGGAGGGAGGGAGGGAGGAAGGGAGGAAGGGAGGGAGGGAGGGAGGGCGAAGGGGAGAAGATTGTTGTGAAGGTGGAAGAAGGAATAGGAAAATGGCGTGCGAAGAGGAGGGAGGAGGAGGAATGAGAGAGAAGGGGAAAGTGAAGGAGTGATTGAAAGCCTAGGGAATGGCACAGCAAGGGGAAACTCTTGCTTATTGTTGTTATCATTATTGCCATTTATAGCTATCGTTATTGTTATTGTTATTATTAGTCATTATTGTTATTATCATTATTGTTGTTGCTGTCATTGTTGATGATGATGTTCATATTGATATTAACATTATATTATTCCTGGTATTATGATTATTATTTTTGCTTCTTATTATTTTTATTATTATTGTTATTTTTAGTTGTTATTGTTATTTTATTATTATTATTGTTGTTGTTATTATTTTTATTATTATTATTATTATTATTATTGTTATTATTATTATTGTTATTATTATTATTATTGTTATTGTTGTTATTATTATTATTATTATTATTATTATTATTATTATTATCATCACACATAAACATGGAATTCCAAGGAGTTTAGGGAGAGGACAAAAGCAGTGGAAATCCTTTCGAATCTTTTTAAAAGACACAAACGCTCGATATTGACGTGGGAGAAAATAAGAACGTAAATTGGTATACACAGGTGCCCAGGACGGAGCTCCGGGTCAGCTGGTGGAGACGGCAGGCTAGCGTCGCCAGCTGGTGTCAAGAGATTAGGGTCGCTGTCGTTATTACATTCCTTTTTCCTCTCTTTTGCTTCTGCTTTCTTTACTTTCTTTGGTTTGCTCTTTCGTCGTGCGTTTGGTTGCTTTCGCTCTCTCCTCTCGTCTCGTTTGTTTTTTTTCTCTCGCTTCTCATTTCTTCTCTCTGTCTGGTTGGCTGTTTCTAGATCTCCCCCCCCCCTCTCTTTCTCTGTCTTTCTCTCTCCCTCTCCAACCTTCCCTCCTTCCTCCCCCCTTTCTTCCTTTCTTTCCTCCCTCCTTCGTCCCTTTTCTTTACTTCTCTCTTCCTTTGCATTCTATCCCACACCCCCTACCTCTTTTCCCCTCCTTCTGTCTGTCCTTCTTCCCTCTTTTTTTTTGCATTTTTTTCGCCACTTTAAAAAGCAATCCTAACATCGGCAATTCTCCATCCACTGTAAGCAGATCGAGAGAAGTTACGTATCATTCCCGTCCAGAATACTTCTTTCGCCGTCAAGAATAGGAAAAGAAAAAGAAAAAAAAAGAAAAACAAA